TGGGTCATTTCCTTTACAGCACTGACCAGAATCTTTACAAGTTTGTTTTGTTAGCTTACCCATTCATTCATTCATTCATTCATTCATTCATTCATTCATTCATTCATTCATTCATGTCTGCAGAAAGGCTCTTCCCTTCTGTGAGTTCCATGAAGGTGGAGGTCATGTCTCTCTATTCGTTTTTGTAGCCCCCATGTCCAGCACAGTGACTAACACGTAGTTAAACTCAGCTCAGTATTTGGGGAATGAATATTGATTAAATGACATACTATGTAAAACTAACTACCGCATCAGGGAGTAAATGAGAACTAACCTTCTTAAGTAGCATTAGTTACTCTCACTGATTTTGGGGGAAAGATAGTTGTCTTACAATTTTTAGAAGATGGAATCAGAATTTTAAAGACATCGGTAACTTGGCAGTGGATTCACCTATTCTTCAATATGTTTCTCAACTCACTTTTGCATTGTTTATCCAATATAAGCCAGCTGTTTACTCTGGCACCAGCACAAGCCAAGGAGCCGTGGAGACCAAACTTGTGCCTACCGTGCCTCGGGGAGCAACAATGGGCAGCCAGATACAGCCACTTTCTAGGGCCCTACTGTGGGAGAGGGTGACAATGCGCCCAGCGGAAAGCACAGCCAGCTAGCCAGGCTGAGCGCATCGGCGGGGGCAACAGAAAAGCCCGCACGCACTTGTGAGTTGGGATCTTGGCACCCAACTGAGAGGGGAATATGAACATGGAATATGAAACGCCATTTTCGTTATCTTTCCCTGGCTATCCCTGACCTAAAACTACTGAGGGTATGGAACCAGTTTCATTTTAGCCATTAAACTGAAGGTGAGAAAGCTGTGTTTGGTGGGTTAGAAATGAGCCGGTTACTGGTTTCTTCACTGCGCTTACATTTGCCAGAAGACTACAGGAATATGAAGGTCATTTTAGATGTCTTCTCTTCCAATAGTGGTTCAATTTCCAGGGGTAAGGTATTAGCAAAGATATATTATTTTTAATCTAATGGGGTTATATACCTACTTGTAAGTTATTCTTAACTGTACAGAGTGGAGGTAGCAGGCAGTTTGATAAATGTGAATAGATGGGAATCTTCAGGGTGATGGAGAAGTTACAACTTCTTGAAACACGAAATATTTCACAACATACTTTCCCATGAGCATGGAATTATTTTTTAAAACTATTTTAGTTACAGATGAAAAAAGACTTGTGATGTACATTTGGACAGTATGTCTGAAAAAGTCTGACATAGTCAAGTATATGTTTTAATATGCCAAGGGGCTTTTGTGAATAAATATTTGTTGTATATCGTATTTGTATAGCAGACTGAATTATGTAAATTGTAAACACAAGAACCATACACATGTCTCAAGATAGACACTTGCTATTTTACCCTTTCATTTTGTATCATCCCTCCATCTCTATCTCTATACATCTATTAACCTACGAGCATGGAATACAACATTCATATAGACTGTAACTTCTGGAAAACCAGAATTATTTATCTACCATGTAGAAATAAAGAGGGTAAATGGAATTCTAGTTACTCGTGATAGAGCTCTTTTATTCATTCATTCAAGGACTATCTGTTGAACAGTGTCAATGTGAGAGGACACAGGTATTATAGGGTGGGGACAAGATGTATACAGCTCTTAACTTTCTGGTGCTTGTGTTCTACTGGAGGGAAACACAGCAACCACTAAATGTGCACGTAAATCATGGAGCTTTCAAATGTGGTAAATGCTATTATCGGCCTCTTTGAGAATAACATTTGAACTACAGAACAAATGTGAAAGAGACAGCTATGTGATTTTTTAGAAAACTGAATGAGTATCTTTAGACATTTAACAACATCTTTAGGACCTTAAATGACATCATTACACTATGCACTGCCAACACCAAGAGCAGATCAGGTATGAGAAAACAGGTCAGGGTTAAAGTCAAATGGGTTTGGGGTAAATTATCAAGTGGGGGATTGGATGCTGCCTCTGATGCCCTCCATAGACATCATTACACTATGCACTGCCAACACCAAGAGCAGATCAGGTATGAGAAAACAGGTCAGTGTTAAAGTCAAATGGGTTTGGGATAAATTATCAAGTGGGGGATTGGATGCTGCCTCTGATGCCCTCCATACGTGGGACTTTGCCAGCTTCATCCTGCAAAGACCCCTACTGATGTGGAAAGCAAGAGCAACACCACTCGCTTCCCCAAACCGCTGTGATGTGAAGACAGGGCAGGTGCCTGGTGCCTGCCCTGTCACTGTCGCAGAGATTACATGCACCTGAAGTCCACATTCTCTCATCTCTCTCATTCTTGAGAACATCAGTTGCCCTTTCCAGATATCTTCATGCTTCTGTCCTTTCCCTGTCACCCACTGGTCCTACCACTAACTGATCATTCCTGAAGTCAGTTTTTAGATCTCACAAAATGAAACTTAGAAGAGGGGCAAGCAGAGCACTCATGTTTCTCTACTACAGGGCTGGCAAGCAGCGCCGATGATAATTATTGTAATAATACCACATGGCAGACTGATCTCCCCTTGGGTCATCTGTGTCACACTCCACGCGTCAGAAGCAGCATATATCCTAACACACAGCGGATGTGTGTAAAGAGTGAGCTGTCACACTGGGGGGGAAGTTGCCACGGAAAGGCTCAAAGGCTCAAAGGTGCGCGATGGGCTGGGTCTCCTCGGACCTCCCACCTCTAATGTGAACAAAGCGGCTGGTGTAGAACCTTGGAGGCAGGGGAAGATTATTTCAGTATCTTGAGTACTGGTACCAGCTTACCTGTGCAAAGGTGAGGGGACTAAGAAGCTTGAGAAAATGCTGGGGTAAGAATAAAGAGAGCACCATGACCATTTGTGTGCCATGTTCTAATCTAAGTCCTTTAGATGCTGTAAAAAGTCAAGATAGCTGAGCAGATGACAAGAGGGAAGAAAAAATAAAGAGGGAAGAAGCAAGAGAAAGGAATGTTTACAAAGCAATTTTGGTAAACATCGTTCATATGAATATCACTGTGTGCAACATTTCTTATACTTAGATACTATGACTTCTGGTCAAGCCACATAATGACTGCGTACTCTCAGCTTATTGAGATGTGGTCCATGGCATCTGTGATCTGGGAATATCTGCCTGGAGTGCAGGAACAGCCAGGCCATGGTTCTGAGACCAGCATGCTTCCTAGGGCCAGACTGGATATCACTGGCAGAGAACAGCCAAGCTGCAGGCTCTCCTCTCCTGACGGACCCTCCCAGGTGAGCGCTCCTGAGACTTTGCCCAGGGGTAGGAATCTCATTCCACCACTGCAGATCCATGCTGGCTTTAATCAAATGTGCCCCTCTCCTATATGGTGTGTGTCTTTATCTGTAGTTTACAAATGTGAAGACTGAACTTAGAGCCAAAGGGTAAGGTAAGGTTTGCATAGCTGGTTGGTGGCAGAGCTGGAATCTGACTATAGATATATCCAATTCCAAAGCCTACATTTGTAACTCCAGTGGCTAATTCTGGAAACACCCCAGAACCACTCCTATGAACTGACTGCTACCATGTGAGTAGTTATCTGCTTCTCTCCATGTTTCCACACTTTATTGACCAAATAGAAAGAAAACAAAGAAAAGGAGGAGACAGTGACATAGATCAAAACTGGGATTTATAATACTTAAACACTAATTTGCCTGCCAAGAAGCCTCACTGATAACTGAACAAGAAAAAAATTAAAACTGTAATGGAGAACGTTATGGAAAAAACAATGGTATTCATTATTTCTGGTAAATGTGGGTATGTTACTAAGGCAAACACTTCTGTCTCCCGGAATGTTGAGGTTTCCTTAATATATATCCACCATGCAAGGGTGTCAATTAACAACTATAGCTCTTGCCCATTCATAGAAACAAACAAAACATAATTTACAAGCAAGGCTAGTGAAAACAGCCCTTAGTATGTACTTTTAAAGCAAGAAATCTTCTGTGGTTTGCAAAATTATAATTGAAAAAAGTTTCTAGAAACAGAATTCTTAAATTTTTGGTGAAAAATTTAGGGGAAATGGGAGCTAAAGTTGATAACCCAAATTACTTAATTAATTAGAATACTGTCTAATGCTACATCTCAAATAATCATTTGTGATCTAGCTTGGTTCAAACAATAAATGATTAGCTGACAAAAGCAGTTTAAACACACCTGAAATTCCTAAATTGGCTTACTTTTATTCCCGACTTACTGACATCTGCTCACATTTGATCACTAACAATGAGAAATATTTAATATTAATCATGTTTACAAAAGCCTGTGTATGTATCTTCACATGAAATTACTGCGCTGCCTTAATGCACTTCACATAAGAAACTGTCTAAATGCTTTCCTTCTACAGCAAAGTGCACAGGGTCAAAATTGAGATCTTTCAAATTAAGCTAAAAATACTTAATCAGAAAACACGGAAATATCCTTTGGCCAGATTTCCTTTAACTGTGCCTTACAATGTCATCTGCATTTATTTTCCAATAGACTAAAAACCCTACTGTTAACTTCTTCTTTCTCCCTCCTGCGAGACTCCTTTCTCTCAACAGTCGTGAGATAAGACTTTTGCCATGACTGGTCTCTTTATTTCTGTGTTTTTGTTCTGTACACTTGTCACACAACCAGGTATGAAGTTATTTTTTCTCTAAAGAACTATTATTAGTAAGAGAAGGTCTGGATATAAAAAGATTTGCCAGCCATACTCACTGTACCTAAGAAGTGGATTTCGTCATAACTAAGTAGTTATTTCTATGCATGGGTTACTGATTAATGTCTGCAAAATATAGTATTTTGGGCCCAATAACTAGCTTTCCGATTCATTATCATGATATTTGACCTGCATTCCAGTGCAGGCACAGTGTCATGCTGCTTCATTCTTCCTCATAGGTAGTCGATTCTATAAATGCAACACTACAGGTGCAGTTAAGTGCTGACATTTTATTTAAAAAACACATAATGGATTCTGGAAAATACATACCTGATTGCACTTGCAGATAAGTGGCCATAGGAGCCACTTGCTGAAGAGCTGCTACGGGAATTATTGAGAATTGTGACCAAGGAGTTGGGAGACGTCCTTATCATGGTCTGAAGGTCAAAGCTATGATCGGACAGTGGTGATATGGACAGTGTACGTTTTCGGCTCGGCCTGGCTGACAGCCTGGGGCTGGGAAATCTGGTGCCTGTAATACAAACAAAACAAAAGCTGATTACCTGCAGTTGGACTCTATCCTGTTATTTATTGCTATTTGCCCGTGTGGAAGAAGTGAAGGATAAGAAGCCAGCAACCTGTGGTGACAAGTACCTTTCCTCCCCCTTGTGATCTACTGACTACAATTGAGGAAATTACGGAGAAATATTTATCTTCCAGGGGCTTACCTCGGGGGAGCTCTGTTTATTAATGTGCAGGCAAAATGATAAATTGCTAAACAAAAGGGAGAGACTTTTACGTGTTACCCCTCTCATTTCTAGTGATTTATGAATCTGACAGCTGCTTAGCTATTCTCATCATTAATTCACCACAAGCGACAAAGACAGTGGTTCCCACAGTGGCAACACGCCACCCTCCCGCCCCAACACATATTTAAGCCAACAAGACGAAGGAAAAAATGAACTAAAGTATCCTCAGACAAAATGTTGAGCTTAGTTACGTCCTCATTTCCTCATGATTTCTGCAGTTATCTGCTCCACGGTATACGTAAATGGTTACTAAAACAACCTATAAATACATTACCCCAAATTAGTGGTTCTCAACTAGGGGCGATTTTGCCCCTCAAGGGACATCTGACAACACCTGGAGATGTTTTGGTTGTCACAACTCAGGGGGTGCTGCTGGCATCCAGTGGGTAGAGGCCAGGGTGGCTGCAGAACATCCTGCAAGCACGGGGCACCCCGCAACAGAGACTATCTGGCCCAGTAGCAGTCGAGGGCCCCTGCCCTAAATTCTCCATAATCTAAGAGAATAAATCCTAAAAAACATTTAAAATCTTGGGATGTTGTTTGTTTATAGATTTTTCTAAAGTGGGGGAAGGCAGGATCATAATGACTGTTGAGGTGCCTATGAGCACTGTAATTCTCTGAACCTCGCTTCTCCAGTCAGAACTAACAGAGAACAATGCATTTATTAGAATTTTTAGCCTTCAGGAAGATTCCACCAATGGAGTCCTAATCTGGAGGTTAGTAACTCAAACACATGCCAACTTAATATAATGATTTTTAACTGAAGAGCTAAGAATTAAATGCCCATTTGCATTCAAGTTTGGTAAGTATTAGAGATCTGAATTTCAGGTCACAGCCACGAATGTGGCCTTCAGGTCCACTCCTGCTCTTTGAAGGTCACATGTACATTACAGAGTCATCAAACTAAAGTTTAATGAAAGAAAGAGAATACAGTCCCAGTAGTTAAGAGGCAAATCAAGCATGATTAGTTTTAAACAAAAACACAAGGTTTCCACAATTTCATAGGATGGGTATGCCTGCTTCCAAGGCCATGGCAATTTTATGGTATCCGGAAAACTGAAATAGGAGGTAAGACTTAAGAACAAGTACAGGCCCTTGGTTTCCAGAAAACTCACTGGGAATTTTCCTTCAGCAGAGATGGATCCTGACACAGAAACAATCCAACATGCTCTGAGATAATTTAATGAAAGGGAATAGATGAATATGAAAGACTTCATAGTGAATTCTCTACAAATAAGAAAAAATAAACCACACACTGGAACTTAGTAAGTTAGTACCATCCGAGTGTAAAACGGAAAACCAATTTGAATGACAAATGTGGTATTTCTTTAAATTTTTCTTTCAAGCACATTTGAAGTAAGTTCCTTCATGTAGAATAGCTTATTGCCAGCCTGATTTAGGGCATTTTAGTACAAAACAGCAATCCCAACTATGTATCTATTTTTAGGTACTTAAGTCAGAATCTTACTTTTATTACGGCATCTGCCTTAAACACAACTGTTTCACATTTACTCACTAGGCGAGGCTAATTTCATCAAAGAAGTTTTTCAATGAAGTACATGCCACTTCCAAACAATTCCAAGCATAAAACAGATTTACTGTCGACTTCCATGTATTCCTCGACAATAATAACCTTTCTCAATGGGACTCAGTGATCACTGGCAGAGTATTCCTCGACAATAATAACCTTTCTCAATGGGACTCAGTGGTCACTGGCAGAGTGAGAAATAACAAGACATGCACACATCCCATTCACATGGACATGTCTTTACTCTCTTAAATCACTGGAATATTTCCAGTTGTTTAAATCACCAACTCGCAGCCTCGCGAGAGTGAGAAATAACAAGACATGCACACATCCCATTCACATGGACATGTCTTTACTCTCTTAAATAACTGGAACATTTCCAGTTGTTTAAATCACCAACTCGCGGCCTCGCGAGACTTTTCAGCCTTCCCCTGGAACCTTCACACGGCCTGCTGCTCAGAGGGCCTCCTCTCTGCCTTTCCCTCTGAGACTCGCTCTGATTTAAGTCAGTTTCTACCAATATAGATAGTGTGGTTTTCAGGGGCCCTCATCTCTAGGATGTTTCTTACAGGGATTACTTGCTCTTGTATCTTTTAAGGTCACTCTAATCCCAAGAGATAGAATTAGAGCCATAAACAGCCTAGTTTGTTCTAATGTGTACATACAAATGCTCTATCTCACATCTTGATGAAACCCAGAGCCCCCTTACTGTTCCAACACAGCTATCTCCGATCTGGTTTTCTGTTAATTGTTTTGTTTCTTTATTCTAATAAAAAAATTCTGACAAAGAAAGGTTTCTTTTTATGTGATGAATGATAGGACATCTAAATTCCTACTAATGACAATCAATTTACCATATACTCAGGCAAATTAAAATTCCTTTAATTAGTTTTTACAAAGTAAAAGGGTAGCTTCATCCTTTATTTAGATAAAAACCGCCACTGCCTGACTAAACACATTCTCATCAAATAGGGAAAGTAATGTGGGTTGACCTTCCAAAGATTCTCTCTTATTTTAATTCTTTATTTGCAGATTTTAAATAACTAATTTGCATAATAACAACGAACTTTTTTTTTCCAACAATCGCTAATTGAAATGTGGTTATGATGAATCTGAAATGTGGGCTCTCTACTTTACAAAGCTGAACAACAAAACTCCTGCAGGAAATGTAATGTGTTTCCTTTTCTTTGTGTGATGATGAGCTCCCCAATGGAAACCAATGCAAGTTCATGTTCCTATGGAATACACTAAGTGATTCTTGGTGGTAAGGACACTAAGGCTGTAGAGTTTTACCGGTGGTGTGATGATGAGCTCCCCAATGGAAACCAATGCAAGTTCATGTTCCTATGGAATACACTAATTGATTCTTGGTGGTAAGGACACTAAGGCTGTAGAGTTTTACCGGTATAGACTAGCCACCCTCTCTCTATTCCAAACCTGAAGACTGAATTACTAAAGAGCTAACAAATGCACATCCTCTGTGAGAGAAGAGTCCAAACAGATCACAGATGAAAAAGCACATGCTAATCACTGCTGCTAGAAATGACAGACAGAACTCCAAGCATACACCCTACTGGAAGTCATACTGTTGTCATAGTCAAATACAGTGGCTTCTGTTTGACAGGTGACTTGGAAGGCACTTTGGAGTTACCCCTGGCACCTTGCGAATGGATGTGTACTTACAGGATCTGAATAGATGAGGGCTCTGGGGTGCTCTGAAAAGTGGTGATCACAAGCTCATTTGTCTGTGCATCTACACACATGACGCAAAGGAATCACCACGTGCCTTGAGGGACCCCAAAATAAGTGATACGACATGCATCAAACGATTCCATTGTTCTTCCACTGCCTTGTACTAAAAGTAGTCCCTTTTGATTTGGAAACGGTTTTTATTTTTTCTAGGTATAACTATTCTGATCCTCTCACGCATTCAGCAGCTATAAAAGGTCTTAGTGAAATATAATTCTTTAGTGTAAAGAACATACAAGGGCAAAATAAATCATTTAATGTTAAAAATATAAATCAAATACAGGTATTTTTTAAAATTAATTTTTAAAGCATAAAATCCATGAAACCAAGGAGTGACTGTGTGAAGTCCATTCATATACCAAGTCCATTCATATTTCCTTATTTTGTTATCAAGACAAGCAGGGCAAAACAGTTTTTTCGATCAGTTATATTTATATATAGCTGTCAAACTACCATCTCCTGCATCTGCCAGTTCACTGGTAACCTTGAGTTAAACAGAGAGTCCTAGGGTGGCCAAACCTATGGAAGCTTCCTAGAAGACCGAGGGACCCAGACCACCAAATAGCATCGTTCTCCTTCCACCCCTCTGGATTGAAAAGTTAGACAATCATGTCATCTTTGTGTTCTTCCTCTCTATTTTGTAAATTAGTGCTTGCACTGCACCCCACCCCCGCCCCTGGACTCCAGAAAATGGACCGGTCACGTACTGTCCATGGCATGAAGATATTCCATGTGGATGGCCCCAGCACCGGCGGTGGCAGCCGAGGGGAGGATGTCTGCATAGGGGCTGCGCTGGCCAGTTAACAGAGCCATCTGATGGTAGTATTCCGCTGGGCTGACTCCAGCATGGGGAGCTAGAAGAGGAGACGGGAAAGGTATGGTCACTTGTTGGAAGAAGCCCAAAGTCCACTGGTCACGCACCTCACATACGCAATTCCTTTTACGGCTCATTTTAGTAAAGTTCCTTTAACTCCCGTTGGGAAAGGTATGGTCACTTGTTGGAAGAAGCCCAAAGTCCACTGGTCACGCACCTCACATACACAATTCCTTTTACGGCTCATTTTAGTAAAGTTCCTTTAACTCACGTGCTTTCACTGTTGTCTATAAGGTAGCTTTTATTTGAAAATAAAACTGAAGAAAGGAACAGAAAAAATACAATACATTACAAGTTTTTAAAATGTTAGTCTAAAGAAATTATCAAGAATTCAAAATGATTAAAATGTATAAATGCATATAACCATGTTTGCCTTCCAAAATAAAGGTGTTTTATATCAAATCACTGTATGTTCACATTTTTTACAAGAGTAAGACAACTCAGACAAGGATGATATCTTTCCAGACATACTTAAAACATTTCCCTAAGCTTTCTGGCAAGAGTGTCTGAGCTAACTCTCACTGACAGGAAGAGTTGGGATTTACAAGAAGAAAAAAGGGAGCACAGCTTTATCCACACACAACTGAACGATCTGCTGCAATCACACGTTCCGTCATTTAAAAGCTCGCCTTTGCATTTTTTTATTACAAAATCAAAAAGAAAATATACCTATCAATCTGGAGCAATTTACTGGCAAGAGTCAGCTTTATAAGAGTGGGATAATAATTGGTTCCCACCTGACAGTTTTTGTGTAAAAACAGCGAGATATTGTAGCAGTTCTGAGAGTGGCCAACAGATTCACAGAGATCTGGATTCAAACCAGCTCCATGAGGTTGTCAGGAGCAAAAAGGGAAATGATGCACATAAGGTGCTTATTAGCATGATCAATAAAAGTTAGTTTACAATTATTATCTAGAAGCACCAACACTCTAGCAATAGGTCTGTGGATGTTTTACATTTGTGTCCATATACTTTTTATAGCAGATCAACCAATTAAAGCATGTTTATTCACACTCATCAAGTGCTATGAAAAGCAGATAAACAAACTTTTCAGTAGATCAATTAGAGATACCACCTTCCACTGGCCCAACTAAACTTCCACAAGCCAAGCACGGCTCCAAGTCCATCGTCAGCTCGCCTCCCTCTCTCCCTGTCTGTTCCCCTTGTTAGTATTTTCCAGCGACTCCCAAGCACCCCGTGGAGGAGACTCTCCATGTCTCCCATTGCAAAATAAAATCCAAAGCAGAACTACTAACTCACATTTCCTGAGAAACTTCTTGCAGCTTCCCACCATGCCCCACCAGCCTCAGGAAGTAGTCTACGAGGAGAACGAGGGTGGTGCACAGAAGCCGCATCAGACGCTGCTCAGTGAAATGAAGTGCGTGGTGTCTCTTGCTGCTGTGGAACTAGCAGCAGCAACTTGTGATCTGTTGCAAGGAACTTATAACTTGCTATCTGCAATTAATAAGGCTTATGCAGTTCTACATCTTAATTCAGACTCCAGTGATTGTGGGCAAGCAAATTTGTGTATTCATTCATGAGATGGGAAATACTTTTTCCGAATCAAAAGAATTGTTTACGACTTGACAGTAGGGGAATATACAGCACCAATTAAAAAGAGTTATGTGAAAGGTAATTCATTGGGAGGCTAACAGAACCAGCAAGAATTAGATACTTGAGAGGCTAAAGTGAGCAGTGAGCAGCAAGTACTACAGAAATTAAGTCCGTTTCCTTTCCCACCACACTCCTCTTCCAGATTTCATTTGACATAGTCAAGGAAAAAAGGCACGTGCAACAGGTCTGGACCATCATATTTTCTAAGACCTTGCTACTGAAAGCCTGGTCCCAGGACGAAAAGCACTGACATCACCTGGTACGTTTTTACAACTGCAGAATCTCAGGCCCCACCCAGCCCCACCCAGTGCAGAATTACATTTTATCCAGATGCCCTCCATATGCACATTACAGCTTGTGAAGTGCTACTCCAGTAGACACATCTGTATAACTGTTCCTCTCTGACATGCAGAACAGGAAAGTGCTCACCAGAAGGTGAGGAAAACGCTCAGGTTTCTCATGCATTAGTGAATGGCCACAGGTCTAAACATACGTGGAGCAGAACAGAACAATGGTAAGAGCAAGGATCTGGGAGCCAGAGAGACCTGGCTATGAGTACCCCTCTGCCACTCCCTAGCCAGAGAATGAGGGGGTTGTAAGCAACTTGACCCCTGTGCACACTGCTATTCTTACCTGAAAATGGCTAGAGAATACCACCTGCATACAGGTATTATAATGCTGAATCAAAATCATGCACTTAAAGCACTTAGTACAGTGTCTGGTACATGAGAAACACTCACTAAGTATATCTACTTTATGCAATGTCCCAGGTGAGGGGCAGGAGGAGGTGGCATAACCCCGGGAAGCAGAATCGGTCAGAGACTTACCATCTGTAGGGCTCAGCCCCCGGGCTGCTGAGATCATGGAGAGGGATGGGCTGCTATGCAGAGACCGGATGTAGTCCATGTAAGGGTTAATGTAGGGATGCGGAGGGCTGAAGGGAGACTCGGATGCTGCAGCAGGGTTCCGGTGCGGGGAGATCCGAATGAAGGGCAGGTCTGAATACGTCGGGCTACTAGACAAGGCAGAAGGCCTGGGCACAAAGAGAACCAGACATGAGAGGCAGGCATGAGACAGATGTCTCTACAGGCAGAGGCTGTCTGCAAGAGGAGGTGAGTGAGACTGCACTGGAACTTAAGCTGTCCTGGGGAAAAATATCAGGCATATGTATTTCCAGTGCCTGAAAACCAGGACGATATAACGCAGGCAGAGCATTTCTATGCAATTATTTGGGCACAGAAAATCGACCTTTGAGAAATTTCATGGCATTCCGATTATAGGAAAATAAAGGCCAGCCTTTGGATTCCCCCATGAGATGAAAAGCTAAGTAACAGGCAACTGAACTTAAAGTGGTTGCTCTGATTACATTTTCCATTTGACCCAAACATTAATGTCACATTTTAAAACTTGCCTCCTATCATCACGGTGAAGAAAGAAAGAGAAGGAAAGAGGGAAGGGAAGGGAAGGAACCCCAAGTATGTCAGGTCTAGAAGTGTGGGCATGCACACGCAAAGCTGCCCATGAACAAGGAAGGAGCGGAACTGCAAGAGTCTGTAAGAAACATGAGGTCGGTTATTCTATATCCACGCACAGGCTTAGTTTCCAAGGGTCACACAGCAGAGAGTAAAACCAGTTTCCCAGATCTGGGTTTCGCTGTCTGATGGCAGCTTCTCTCTCTGTGAGGCAGCACTGAGAACCAGCTTTCCACTACCCGTTTTTCATGTGGCACCCTGATTAGCTACGTTCAGTGAGCCACCAGTAAGCAAGTGCTCCCGTGGTTAGAAAGCTGAATGGGGTTTTGATCAAGCTTCTGCCTCAATTATAACGAGCTAAGGTAGAACACAAGCTTTTGGCTAACGAAAATAAATTCTGAAATGTTCCTTGCTACCGCCACATTCTGACCCACTCTTGGACATTCCTCCCTCTGCCCCCTCGCCCCCAGCCACCCCATAAGTCCCCCGGGCCAGCAGTCTCTAACAAGGCCAGTCTGGGTGACCCCCCTGGCCGTCGTGTCCCTTCTCTAATGGAAGACGTCTGGTGCAGACGGCCCAGTGGGCTGCCTATGACAGGTTCAACACTTGTTTCCTCCCTGTCCTCACTCACGGAGGGTATGGCCATAAAGGGCAGAGGCCCTGAGAGAGGCAGATCAACTGAAAACGGCCAATTCCTCTAGTGCCGCTGGCTTCAGGAGTGAAACGGAAGGGAGGGGAAACACATCTCACAAAGCAAAGCGCCGGCCCCCATCACCCCGTCAGAACATAATCTCGTAGAAACCAGCCCCACGAAGTGCACAGCACAGGCACCGGATAAATGAAACCAGAGATCAGATAATGAATTTTCTCTCAGCAGAAAATAAAAGAGGTTGAAATACGGTCTGTGTGTGGGGAGGGGTGTGTGGAGGATTTTCTCGCTTCTTACTTTTTAAAATTTTGAATTTAAAGAAAAAAAAGAATTGAGGCTTTTTATGTGTTACTCAGATGTTACCTAAATTTACATGTGGGAAGAGTATGAAACCAACACCAGGAAATAGCTGTTTCTTTTCAAAACAACGTGAGGCTTTTATACCCACTCAACAATTAGTTAGAAATTGGAGTAACCTCTTAGTCTATTTTAGCTCTTCACTATAAAACAAGTCACCTTGTGTCACTGGTTACATCATCCCCAACGTTCCAGTTTAGACATGTTTGCTCTTCTAAGGTGCGCACCTCTAAAGGGTATAAGAGATGCTCCAATTCATGAATTCATTTTCTCCCAGAAAGGACAATCAGTCCTTCCAATCTGATTCAAAAGTATTTCTTACAAAACACAAACTAATTTACAGATTTATGCTGACACTGCTGCAACAGAGATCCATTAGAGCAGCCATTTGAAGAAATCCGTGAGATGACACCTGGACAAACGTCTGAGATCTATGAGAAACTCAGTCAGAACAATTTGAACTAAAATTCAGCACAGGCAATGGCATTTCTTGCTGGATTTTTCTGACTTAGACAAAGATTGGAACCCATCATTTTTTCTAAAATTCCAGAACTGAGAAGAGTAGTAAGAGTGTTCCTAGTGGTCCAAACTCTACGTTGGAGAGTCACACACAGGACAACCAAACAGATGTAGGAAAACGCAAGCATCACTGCAGTCAGGCACAGGCAGCCTCCTATCCCAAAGGAGGCCAAAGGAGCTCCTGGCTCCTTAATAGTGGCTGCGGACATCTGACGCTCACACCACTGACTCACTTTGATGTGACTTTTCCCATCCAAAGACTGAAAGTAACCACTAAACGAGCTTCCCATGGTCACTCAAGACCTGGTTGCATCTTCCCGGCTGCAGTGCTAGGCTCCACAGCCCCTTCATACACTAGTAAGAAGCAACAGTGGAAAGGAGGGTTCCTCCAGCACTTGCAGATAAAGTCAGGAAACTTCACCCCATAGGGTAGACGTCATATTCCACAGAGATGCAGCTGAGGAGATGTGGGGTCACCTATTTCCAAACAGAGCAGGTGGGACATGCCTTCAGATGCAGTGTAAATAAGAAAGCTGTAAGTTAATTAAATGCCCTAAAGAAACAAACTCTCTAGTAATAAAAGGTCATCCACTCCCAGTATATGAACAGAAAAGTGTTTAATAAAGGTTACCCAGTGAGGGGTCATCAGGAATTCTGGATGTGGTTGTGCCAGACCATCAGTGCAGTGGAAGCCAACATGGGTGGGAGCCAGCTCTGCTCCTGGCAGCTGTGGGACTGACTCCAGCTGTGATGCCCACCTCTCCTCGTCCTTGACGGTCCAATGGGGAAGATACCTACCCTCGTGGGGGTCTTGGGAAGTTAATATAAGTAAAGCCTCATGTACTGAGTCTAGTATATAATGAATACTCAATATAAACATACACACACATATAGATACACACATACATATACGAGGGTACTTCAAAAAGTTCATGGAAAAATGGAATAAAAGATAACACAAATCTTTCAAAGAACTTTTTAAGTACCCTCGTATGTGTGTGTGTGTGTGTATATATATATATATATAATCACATGTGAGATTGTACATATCACACACTATGCTAACATAATACTGCTTATACAAACCCATAAACAGAAATATATGTGGTATATACACATATACATACAGATGTAAACATGGACACACACATATTAGGGGAGACAGATATAGCATATTATGTGATTTCAAATATTGAAATACTGGAACACTCTTTCTTTAAATAGACTATTTTTAAGAGCAGTTTTGGGTTCACAGCAAAATTGAGCTGCAGTACAGAGATTTCCCACATACCCCCGTCCCCACACATGTGTACCCTCTTGCCATGATCAACATTCCCCACCAGAGTGGTACATTTGTGACAACTGATGAATCTACACTGACGCATCATCATCACCCAAAGTCCACAGCTGACATTAAGGTTCGCTCTTGTTGGTGTATATTCTATGGGTCTGGACATGTATCCATCACTGAAGTGTTATACAGAGTAGTCTCACTGCCCTAAAAATCCTCTGTGCTTCACCAATTCTTCCCTCCTTCCTCCCACCCCATTCCTGGAAACTATTGATCTTTTTACTGTCCCCTTATTTTGCCTTTTTCAGAACAGCTGGACTCCATATAGTTGGATTCATACAGTGTGTAGTCTTCAGATCTGCTTCTTTCACTTAGTAATATGCATGCAAGTTTCTTGCGTATCTTTTCAGGGCTTAAAAGCTCATTTCTTGTTAGCGATGAGTAGTATTCCATTGTCTGGATGTGCCGCAGTTTACTTATCCCGTCACCTACTGAATGAAGGACATCTTGGTTGCTTCCAAGTTTTGGAAATTATGAATAAAGCTGCTGTAATCATCTATGAGCAAGTTTTTGTGTGGACGAATCCTCTTTCCAAAGCAAATCTGAACACACCAGTCTGCTTTGTTCCACTCCCTGTCAGCACCTTCCAAGCACCTCCTTGTATCTCCCAGGATCTCGCTCAGTAAAATCATGAAGCCACATGAAGTGTTTGAGAGCATGAACTCAGTGATTGCATGCAAGGGCTCTGAAGGAACAGGATGTGAATTCAAGCTCTGTCACACACTCTGTCACCCAAGCACCAGTTTCCCCATACATAGACTGTGAACAGTAATTGCTCCCTCCCAAGGCTGCTGTGATGGCTGGAACCCAGGTATGTGAAGACAGGAATGCCATGCCTACTATGCGGGGCATGTGGTAAATGGTGGTGGTTGTTGATGTCTCTGCACAACCAGCCAACTAAACTTCTTTTATTCTGAATCCAAACTCAGCAAACACACGTCCAAATGGCAATTTGGGTCCTAGCAGAGCCGTGGCTGGTGTTCCGCTTTCCTCACTTTGGTTTCTTACTGAAGGCTGGTAACTTATTAATGCTGTTTCCAGATCAGGCTATTGTGAGTTGGGTTAGCATGACATTTCTCTACTGCTGACGCCTGACGAAAATGAGTTTCTAAGTCCACAAAGCTGAGCATCCAACTTGAACTACAGTGGCACAAGCAGCCACCTCACATGGAAGTAAATATACATACATAAATTGTCCAACACTACCTAACAGAGCCACTTCTAAATTCTTGGCATTTGCATGAATAACTTGTCAGTTATTATGTTTCTAACTGTAAAGTAAACCTGAGAGGGAAGGTTAAGCTCCTTCAGCTGAATAGGCAGATGTGTGTTTACTGTTCTGTGGGAGAGCCATTCAGAATTATGACATAGAAGAGGTGAATTCTGCTGAAAGAGGAGGAGGGAGATATGGAGAAAGCAGCCACAAAATTTCTCATATTAGTGACATGCATTATTTTACACACTGCCATGGACTTGACCTGGTAAATATTTGCCAAGCTTGTTAATCTTCACTGGGGGAGTACAGAAGCACCAGGAGAACAACTACAGGTGTCTCTTTCTTGATTCATACTTTTAGTAGACTGTAGGGAAAATAGGATAATTTACTCAGGCTCCCTCAGCTCAGGTCTGGTTGGGGGTCGAGCAGCACATTTCTTGTAAACAAGTT